CACTGTCCAAATGCCTCCTTGAACAGGCTATTTGAGGCCATTTAAAGTTCTCAAGAATCTGTACTATATCTTATTAGCAAATGACTCTGGAAGCTAATTCAAAGTCCTTAAAATTACAATTACCCTAAGGACAGGATAGGGAAGAAACTCTATAAGAAAAATAATGTTTGCTACCAGGATATCAAATATTCATGTATATTATTTCATTTCAATCCTCACCAGCCCAGTAAGAAAAGTATTAGTACTTTCACTTTAAACATAAGTAACTGGAGAATGGGGAGGTTGTCATTTGCCCAAGTGAAGCCAAGATTCTTACCTGTGTCTGCCTCACATTCATACCCACACTCTTAATCTCATACTGACTTTGCCAGGATATCACAACAAAGAAAAAAAAACCACAAAAACTATGAGACTTTTCATTAGTTCATTAAAGAACACATATAATATCTGCATACCAAGCTGGCATCTGCCACTCTTACTGGAAATGAAAATGAGATTTCTCAAATGAAAAGCTGTCTATTTACAAAGGAACAGACCTATGAAATTAAGATATAAAACAATTGCTTTGCTATTTTAGAACTTAAGAAAGAAGAAATGGAAATAGTGGTGCATTACCAATCACCATCCAAAACAGAGAAAAAGTCATGAAAGTTGGAAAAAAATCTAACTGCTATGAAATACTCAATAATGACAACTGGTGACTTGTACATTTTACAAAGAGCAGACAGTAGCAATTGGTAAGTTCTAGAGACTGTTTCCTATAGATAATAATGGTAAGAAAAGCTATCCATCACAATCAATCTCTCATTTTAGGAAAGGCTGCCTATAGCTATAGCTCTAGTCTCATCACAAATCTGTGACTGTGCCCTTGACAACAATACCCCTGCCTCTATCAGAGCACCAATCACACCATCTGCTGTTTGAGCAGCAGCAATTTTAAACACAAAGTATTACTACTTTAATGGTAAATCTCAGTACTAGCAACCAAAACAAACAAACAAAACAGTTTGTGAATTTTATCCACACACCCAGCCAACTATATAACTGTCCACTCATCTATCCAACAAGCCTCCAACCTCCCCATTTATCACTATGTGCTGGGCACTGTGCTAGATACTAACACTTTCCTTCATCTGCAGTGGCTTCTCCAAAGCGAAGTCTAGAGGCCTACCTCCCGTGAGGAGTCATGCTCATGATGCCAAAGTACAGAGATTGTGCCAATTCTGCAACGTGAGTCCTTATTAAGCAAACTACAAAGCATCGTCATTCAAACCATATGCATTTGGGATGACAGTTCTTAACCCTGGCTGCATATTAGCCACCTGAAGAGCTTTAAAATAATGCCAATGCCTGGGTCTCATTCCAGACCAACTAAATCAGAATCTCTGGAGGTGGGGCCCAGCATGGATATATTTTTTAAAGCTTCTCAGGTGATTCCAAAGGGAAATTCCAGGGTTGAAAACCCTAAACTAAGTATTTTTAGAGTGGTATTTCTGAAAACCCCTTAATTCACAAATCTATTAGATGGTATAAAGACCACAAAATTCCCCCTGCACCCACTGCCCGGTCATCTGAGYTGCATTAAAATGATACATCCATAGTGTTATCTTAAAATTACAGTCCCATTACTTTTTGTTTATAGCAATGAAATACTAAAAAAGAGGTTATTCATTGCTGCCTCCCTCCAGATGCCCCCAGGCCTATGCTGAGAACCCCAAGCTGCATGTGGATCTTGAGGTGGCCTTGTTCTCATGCAATAGCTGAGTGTTTGGTAGAGTGCAACTGGCAGTGTCCAGGCAAGCAGCAGCCTCAGCTCAGTTCCAGGACAGGAGGGAACCTTCATAGTCCAGGCATGATTATCAGACTCTTTGTGCTCTTAAAGGAGAGTAATTATAGGCATGTGAAAAAAGGGAAGCTCTCCCGGAGGAACTCTTCCTCACATGCTTCCCAAGAGGCATGAGGGCCATTAAAAATTCCATGATGAAGAGGAAAAACAGCCTGGGAACAGCCAGGAGGCAATACAGCAAATTAATACACCAGCCCTCCTCGGGGAAAGCTGTGATAAAACAGGAAACACTTCTCTCTTTGCAAAATAAAATTATACCACTAATGATAACATAGTCACCACACACACGAATTGTTCTAATGATGGGTGTAAAATTCCCACTGCTGCCTAAATGCTTTGAAAGAAATATTTTCTTACTACAAATAAAATGGGACAAGAAAAAGAAAAAATTTCCATTCAAAACACTTTTTAACATAGTCACTCAGCTGCCTCTTCTCTGCCATCACTCCTCGTTTACATTCCCTCCTTGGGGCCAGGCTTTTGTTAAATGGTCACCTCTTCACAAAACCCACTGCCCTGTTCCAAGTCCAGTCTCCTCAGTCCCTCACACTGGAGATGGACTGCACCTTCTCCACTGACCTCTTGCTAGGCAGGGGTACCTCCAAGAACTTAAGTCTTTCATCATTCACATTTCCTGGAAACTGCATAGAGGTCACTTGTGCTGATTATTTCCCACAGAGAAGTGGTTGCTACACTTGACTGACTGACCCTCATTCAGTAAAAACTCTGAGGAAATAGTTATTATATATAATACATTATGTGTGTGCATATTATGTACGTACACATTAAACATGTGCTAGTAGACAAATAGGTATACAGTTTAAAACAAAAAAAACTTCAAAGATAAGCTAATAAATAAATGTGAAGTTTAAAAAAGTTTTTTACTCCTACCTTCAAGAACTTCTTGCATGCAACTTAGAACTCACCAGCCTGGGAATGCTACCCAGGAGTAAGGACAAAGATTATCCATAATTGTTCACAGTTTCTCTCCTTTGCTTTTAGCAGTGGTCTAAAGCAATAGTCAGTATTTCCCTACAGCCAAGTGTACCAAAGCTTGGCTGAGACTTCCTAGTATTTCCCAGCCCATCCACAAGCAAGCCAGGTAAAGGAATGAAGATAATGATGTGGATAATGAGATACACAAAGAAATAAGAAACTGCCACCTATCCCAGCCAGAGGGCTGAGACTTTTAAAGGAATTAAAATCTAAGGAAAGTACTGATATTGACCCTAGCACAGCACAGCTCTAGGCAGCAGAGGAAAAGGGAAGACAGCAAAGTAATCTGTTTTGAGTATTGGATATGACAGGGTGAAGCTCATAAGCTCATACCTTCTTCCCAGAGTATACACAGCCATTAATTTGTTTGGTATCAAGACAAAAAGCTAGAGGACTGCTCTCCCATGCAGTGAACTTTTTTTTTTTTTGGTTACTGGGGATTGAACCCAAGGGCACTCAACCACTGAGCCACATCCCCAGCCTTTTTATATTTTATTTAGAGACAAAATCTCACTAAGTTGCTCAGGGACTTGCTAAGTTGCTGAGGCTAACTTTGAACTTACCATCCTCCTACCTCAGGGTATTACAGGTGTGTGCCACCACACTTGGCGTGGAGTGAATTCTTGAGGCTTTCTGAGTATCACCACCTCTAAGAAAATCTCCCCTAAACCTTTAAGTTAGGGCTCTCCTCTGTACTTTGTATCATCCAGATACAAATTGCTATTGCAACTGTCAGTTTCTATAACTGACTTTCCCACAAGAATATAAGCTCCTTTAGGGAAGTACCTGAAAAAGAGGCTGGCACATGGTAGGGAGTCAGCAAATGTTGAATGAATGAGTGATGAGTAAACAGCATGATACTGAAGGAAAGGCCTTACAGCGGCAGTTTACATGGGCACACAATTTTCTACATTCTTATTAACACCATTTACGATGAACTCTCTTTTTTTTAAGTTGTAGATGGAAACAATATCTTGATTTATTTTTATGTGGTGCTGAGGATTGAACCCAGTGCCTCACATGGTAGGCAAGCGCCCTATCACTGAGCCACAACCCCAACTCCTAATGGTCTCTTTTCAAAAGATTTTTCCCCACTGAAATGCTACTTCTCCAAGTAGAAAAAGCTGGCAGTAGGTTATGGTACACAGTTCCAACTACTTCTATAAAAGAACAACTTCTTTGTGTAGCCTGCACCCAAAATTTATGAGTATATCTATTTAAGAATTTATTAGAAAGAAAGAAAATCATCAGAACTTGAAAAGAAATTCTTGAAAAGAATCAGAAATAATAATTCTAAGGTCCACCAGTTAGCTGCTCTTTTGTCCACAATAAGCCTGCTGAGGAATTCTATAAAACTATATGTACTTTCCATGAAACCTAAATTAAGAAAATTCACAATGAGAGGCATAAGATTCATTCATTTGACAATACCAGACACCTAACAAGTGCCAGACACAGATGCTAGGGGGAATTATTAGACAACAAGGCAAGATCCCTGCCCTTTGAAGCTGCTATTCTAGTGCAAGAGACATGTGGGGGGGGGGAACCCTAATACGTAAAAGCATTATAGATTGTGGTAAGAGCTAAACAGGAAGGAAACACAATGAACAGAGAGTACTGCAGGTTGCCCCTTTAGGAAGGTGGTCTGAGTGGTCCTCCCTGAAGAGGTATCAACTGAGTTGTGGTGAGTAGGACCTCGAAGAGGTTTCCAAGCAAAAGAAACAAGAGTGAAGGTCTGAGGCAAGAAAAGCCTGTTCTTTTTGAAGAACAAAACGGAGCTCTCCAGTGCAGATGGATCTCTTCCCCAGAGAGGGGGAAGAATTATATGAAAGGAGGCTGGACAAGTAGGCAGAAATCAGATTATGCAGGGTTTTGCAGGTCATGGCAAGGAACATTAATAATGTTCTTTGAAGATGGGGCTTTTAGCAGGAGAAATAATATGAAATATGAGCCAGAAGACTGAGGTCACAGTTGAGACTTAATCACATACTAGCCATGTGACCACAGCAAAGACACCTCAGCCCTCAGCCTCAGTTTCTGCATCTGTAAAACATCTATTTATCTCTGAAGGTTGTATGGATAAAATTGGACCTATATACAAACTTTATAATCTGAAGTGTTATAAAAGAAGAAAATAACAGTCACTAAACAACAATACCTGGCAGAGCAGTGTGCTGGTGAACATCTTCGATGAGAAGCATCAGCAAGAACATCCAGGGAGTAAAGAGGAGAAAGGGGATTAAACTGTGGGGATAAATAAGATTTTTTTAGTAAGGTTTAAATGAAAGAGACCTGTTCCCAAAGGGCAGCCTACTGTTTACTTTTCTTTGACTATCCAATTTCTGTCGTACTAACATAGACACCGTTCCATAAGGTTGTGCACAGTTAATAGTGTGCCCAGGAGTGTGGCATAACTCATCTAGCACATCTCCAAAGAAAAAAATTCCTTGTTAAACAATAGTTCTTCAAAAACTTCTGATACCCAGTAAATATTTAAATGGCACAAGAGTGTATTTTCCAACTAGCATCACAGGAACTTACATCTAATGATTATCAACTATTTATCAGCCCCCTTTCCCAAGAAGACTAGTGCAAAATTACCTTTTTTGTTCCCTTATTCTGACAAATGTTTTTAACAGTAACTAGTGAGCACAGACCAGCAGCACAGTACAGCAAAGAGAGACTACACTACACTAGAATTGAAATACCTAATCTCAGTCCATCAAGTTGCTCAGTGTTTAAAATGACAAAGCCTCTTTGAGTTGTATTATCCTCATCTGCAGATTATATGTTACAGGGTTTTTGTTTGTTGTTTTTTAAAAGGCTAACTGAAATGTTGCTTTAAGGTTTCAAAATAATTTCAACTTTTCATCTGTAAACATTTATTGACCTCAAAAGGTAAGCCATGAGGAACAGAGTAATAGTTCAGTGGTGGAGTACACGCTTAGCATGTGCAAAGCCTTGGGTTCATCTCCAGCACAAAAACAAAAAGGGGGCTGTGAGGGTCAAATGGAATACAGTATGTGTAAAAGTACCTTGCTTTATGTTTACGTTAGCTTTCTTTGGACTTTTCCCAAAATAGCCCATTGTCAGCAACTTAATGCATCTTAAGATTGAAAGAGGGCTGGGCTGTAGTTCAATGGCAGAGCACTTCCTAGCATGTGTGAGGCACTGGGTTCAATCCTTAGCACCACATAAAAATGAACAGATAAAATAAAGGCATTCTGTCCATCTACAACTACAAAACAATTTCTAAAAAAGATTGGAAGAACTATGAATGACAACTTCAAAAGAATATAAGAATGTATACTAAGCCATAAAGGTGCTGGACCCAGTTCTACTTGCTGTATGACTTTGGGCAAACATTTTACAATACATGGACCTCCAGTTCCTCATTTGTACTTAACAGATCTGTAGTAGGTGATGACCACAGGTATCCTTCTGCCTTTGAATTCTCTGATATGAACATGATCAGAGCTCTAACTTAAGAATACCTAAACAGCAGTCTGTCACATGTTGCCTTCGTGATTTTTTCCTTACCTGACTCACTACTACATACTGTTTACCTAGTACTTTTCTTTATGCCAATTATTTTAACGTGGACTTGTCCTAACTATGTTTCCAAGAAGTGATAAGTTTGATGTAGTGATTACATTTCTTTGAATACATAACTTAAAATTATGTGAAATCAACTCGTGAGATGATTACATCTTTCACTGCTTTAGTACGTTTTGAAACAGCAACTTTACAATGAAAGTTCCAAGTCTAAAATGTACGTCAACTTGGTATGCTACTAAGTAGTCCAAAAAACCAACCAACCACTGAGCAACAGAAGCCTGAAAATTTTTACCCATCAGTCTTCAACAATTCTACAACTCATTACTAAGATAAAGAAACCCCTATCCCGCCCAAAATGAAAGAGTTTCAAACATGAATAAACCTAACAGTAGCCACTATGAGCAATTTTTAGATAGTGAACTCTAGCAGCTCTACCCTCTTCTGCTTCAGATGTCAAGGCTTCATTCAGTAAAGGACTTCACAACTTCACAGTACAGGATTCTGGTGCTAAACTACTAAACCATAAGCAGATAAGATTCACTCTACTTTCTTACTACAAATTAAAAAATAAAAATAAAAACAGAATCCCCTTGATAAGTAAGAAACTGACAATCATGAGTAAACCTCAAAAGGAGGAAGTGTCTACAATTCTCATCAGTAAGTATCTGATATTCTTGGGGAACAGTCCTCTGAGAAAGTCAGAATAACGTAGGGAAAAGGAAACCTTACCTCTTGTGCACAGGCAGAAATGTGAGGAAAATCAGAAGCCAATGTTTTATTCTTTCTAAAGAAAAGGAAATCAAATGATAAAATAAAGATGATAAAGAAAAGTGATCTTACCTGATTTCGCTCTCTTTTCCCAGCTGATGGTAACCAGAAACTAAAGAGAGGGAGAGAATAACAGGGAAGAAAACAATAAAAGAAGTGATAGAAAATTACAGAGGGGAGAAGATAAACAGATGGAATAATGAAGTGAAGACAAAGAAAATGGGAGAAGACACAACTGGAGGAGAAAGGACAAAGACTATATGTGAATTTTTTGGCTGAAAGAAACTCTTCAGGGCTGGAGTTGTGGCTCAGTGGTAAAGTGTCCGCCACCTGGCACGTGCAGGGCGCTGGGTTCAATCCAGCACCACATAAAAATAAATAAATAAAATAAGGGTTAAAAAAAAAGTAACTCTTCAAAGCCTCATAATGGAATGTAAATGACTGGGCAAGCTACAATAAACCCAAGGTCACAGAGCAACATCAATGTTCTCTCTGCTGTGCAATGACAATGGGAGTTTCAGTTCAAGAGGGGCTTAAAGGGGCATAAACCATGTACACATCTTGCCTATTTTATAAATTAAAAATCAGACTGGGCTGAATGCATACAAGATCATAACTGGGTACTAACCATAAGTCATACAGGCAAGAAACATGGCAGAGCCAACCATGCTAGGTGACAAGGCTCTCATTAAGAATGTGTAGATGATTCTCCTATAGCTACATACAGGCTTTCCACTGCACTTATCAAAGTGATTAGACAAAAGAGATTTTCTCTATAAAGAGCTCTGAAAATGGGAAAAAATACAGAATAGAGAAAAATCACTCATTAAAAAACAAGAGGTAGAAATGTTGGCAGGCATTAATGTAACACCTAGAAACATAAAAACCAAGAAAATACAAACTAGTCTAGAAAGAAAATCATTGTCATGGTTCTGGCCATCTTAACTATTATAAAGAACGTATCTTTTAGATCACCTCTTTCAGCTCTGTAGCCTGACACTAGGTTGCTTCATAAAACGTCCTCTATTTCCTTATCCAAAGAACAGTGTGCACAGCCAGTAAACACTTCAGCACTTACTCTTTCTGCCGGGGGTCACTGATGATATGGCTTATCCTCTCAGTACCCAGAGTACTTATGCTGGACTCCTAAAAAGGAAAGGAAAAAAAGAGTAACATCCCACCACAGAAGCAAATATACAAAGTACAATGTTTCTAAGCTCACACTTTCCCATAATTGTGCCACCTGAAGCAACCTCAAATGAACAGCTCAAATGTCATTTGTTTTGTTACCCCTGGGGATCAAGCCCAGGGCCTCACAATGCTAGACAAATGCTCTACCACTAAGCTACACTTCCAGCCCTCTCTATATTGAGACAAGGTCTTGCTAAATCTCCCAAGCTAGCCTCACATTTGCAATCTCTTGCCTCAGCCTCCTGAGTAGCTGGGATTACAGGTGTGTGCCATAGGACCCAGTTCAAATGTCAATCTTGTAACCCAATAGCAACTCTTATTTTTTTTTAATGGGAATCTATCTGAAAAGTATTACATGTTATCCTTATTAATTCTCTACTGATCCAAAGACATTATAAATAGTGTTTAATGTGATTTTTATTCTAACCGATATATACAACTTAAAAATTATACACATTAGTAGGTACCATAGTGATACTTCAATACATGTATACATCGTTTCTTTATGCATACTGTGGTTACTAACGTATATAGCAGAAACACTTTTGCAGAAAATTCAACAGCAGCCAATATTTAACAGGCCAGCACACCAAGTTGAGTCAGCCATGTGAGTGTAGCCCCACTCAGATGTGAGAAAATTTCACAGTGGGAAAATAAATGAGTTCTCACTGGTAAACCCTAAATAGCTGCTAACTAAATGAATACATATCACAGGACTTTTGTGACTTATAAAAATTGTCACCCTGTACCTAATCCATTAAACAACATCTCAAAGTAAAAACAGAAACTTAAACTTGTAAAAGCTGACTTGTAAATTCAGGATTCTCAAGACTGTAATGTGAACACTTACCCATAACACTATAAGCAATTCAGAAACTAATCATCTCCAAAAAATTGGAAAATAGCAGAAGGCACTCACTGTTCATTGAACTTGAGTACGTTCATAATGACTATCTATTACAGTACCTAAAAAAGGACACCAACACCTATGTGAATAATGGTTACACACTTGTGTGTAAGTGTTAAGAGAACATAAGTCATGAATGTCAAGATTGACAAGACTGTTACTCAAACACATTTGTTTCTGGACAAGTATTGTTATATGTACTCATTATGTGTATGGACTAGCCTAAACATTAGGATACATATTTTAACAGAACCACTGGCTATAGAAAAATTAATCTGAGGTCAGATTCTGGAAAAGAGTGTAGCTAAATGACCAGGTTTCACACATGCATTTTTCATATTTCTTATTCCTACAGCTATGCCTCCTACTTACAGACAAAGAATGGTAGGGGGCCAAGGGAAAAGATGGGTGAAAAATGAGCTATTTGCTACGGCAGAAAAATTATTAACTTAAAATGCCGTAATGTTTAAATTTACAGTTTATTACTGTGTAAATTACAAGCAGTACTTTGCGTAATTAGCAGCTCGCTGGCAGGGAGCTGTGAATGAAACTCATTATTTATGATTACAATTTAGAAAAAGAGGAGAGAGGCTGGGGAAGGGGAAAAAGGGGGGCAGAGCAGTGACCTCTGCTAGAAATGACAAATATCCCTTTAAGGTGATGAAGATGAATTAAACAAGTAAATATTATCCTATTCATTTGAAATCATTAGAGGCTTGTCCAATAGGCCCTAGTTCCCTCCCAGGCAAGCTGAAGTCAGTTGGAGATGAACTGACTCACTTCCATGGAAGTAGAAGAAGAAAGAAAAGCAGGTGGTAGGGAGAACCTCATCTGTCCAACCTAACCAATAAAGAGAAAAAGTAACCCCACCTGTCTGTTCCCCACTCCTAACCTCTTATCTCCCTCAACCATATATACTTCTATTCCAGTAGCTGTCCTATAAACTCCCAAAACAGCAAACACAGCACTCTATTAATAGTCTCAAAAGTGAATGATCCAAAAAGATCAAGTTATCATTCTTCCAATAATCAAATCTTACTACTTAGTGAGATTCAAATTAGAATTTAAAAATAAGGAGTAAGAATCTGAGTTGTCTACAAATAAACAGCCTCATTTCTTTTGCATGGCTAAAATTTCAGAATACAGTTCCCTGAAGCCTGGCACAGTGGCACACACCTGTAATCCTAGCTATGAGGCTGAGGCAGAAGGATCACACATTTGAGTGAACCTGGGCAACTCAGTAAGACCCTGTCTTAAAAAAAAAAATGTAAAGGAGACTAGAGATGTAACTCAGTGATAAAGCACCCCTGGGTTCAATCCCCAGTACTGGGGCAGGGTGCACCAGTCCCTTAAGAGAAGTCAGACTATGGCTGACTGCTATATACCTAGCTCAGCACAGAGCCTATATAGCAGGCATTCTAAATGCTGAGAGAACAAACAAATCAATGCTCTCAAATGTCTCTCCTTCTTATCCCTCACCTACCTTCATCTTCAAGTAAGTATTAGCCCTTGTCTTTGCCTGTCTCTTGGTCTCAAAGCTAGAGTAAAAAATAAAAAAAAATAAATAAAGTAGCTCTGGATTCCAATATCTATTCTGTCACTACAATCCAGGTAACATCAGACATTACTTAAATTCGTTGAACCTAAGTTTTCCTCATCTATAAAAGGAACTTTCAGGGCTGGGGTTGTAACTCAGCGGCAAAGCGCTCGCCTAGCATGTGCAAGGTCCTGGGTTTGACCCTCAGCACCACATAAAAATAAGTAAATAAAACAAAGGCATTGTGTCCAACTACACCTAAAAAATAAATATTTTTTAAAAAAGAAACTATTAACATTTTGACAAGATCGTAGGGAGGAGTGAAATAAGCCAAGTGTCTATCACAGTCTTGGCTAAGCAGAACTAGAGATCGTAGAGACTCCTCTCTTGTGGCCAAGGAGGGGATATTGTAATTTGATAACAGAGATTTTTGTTTTGTTTTAATGAATTCTAGGATAAAAAGACCAAAGTTAGAATATAACAAAGAAACATTCCTTAACACACAAGTTGTTAAAGAGCCAAGAGTATTTTAACTTAAACCATAATAATGATGATTAATCAAAAGTGCAGAGAGACAAGAGATCAGGCCTGTAGATGCATTCACAATAGAGGCTGTGAAGAGAATATCTGCTTTGTCAGAACTCCTGTGTGGATTACATTTTTATCATTTATGTGTGTATAAACTTAAATCCTACATAATGTTCACTCTTGCAAACTCCCAAAACATTCCAGTTGGCTTCCCTAACACCAGGGAGTTCTATAGCATCTTTGATCACCAATAGGATACACAAATCCCATGGGGAGTTTCGTCTTCCTAGGGCACCCAGGCAACCATGAAAGCTGTCACCTTCCCAACCAGCAATAGGATACACAAATCCCATAGGGAGTTTCATCTTCTTAGGGCACCCAGGAAACCATGAAAGCTGTCACCTTCCCAACCAGCAATAGGATACACAAATCCCATGGGGAGTTTCATCTTCCTAGGGCACCCAGGAAACCATGAAAGCTGTCACCTTCCCAACCAGCCTTCTTCGCCCCTTTCTGAGGCATCGTGCTGCAGCCCCTGGCAGACGATTCAAACGAGCATGGTATCCTGGAAAAAGAAGGCCTCGGTTACTGAATGTGGAAAATCCATACACAGGGAGATGTTTCTAGTACACTGGAGCCCTTACACCCAGGATCTTCACAGTGTTATTTGCCAAGGACTTGTTCCCATGTCTTTGTCACTAGCTGAATGATCTTAGGCACACCATTCACCTTTTACCTAGGCATCCGCACCTACATACTTGGTCCTACTTTATAGAGTTGTTTTGAAGACCCAATGAAATAGCATATGGAAGGTTCTTTATAAACTGCAAATGCTATGTAAATATAAGGTATATTAACAATTTTTAATTTTAAATTAAATGCTAGTTACAATCTCAAAAGCATTCTAATATTACAAAGTAATGGTGAAAAGAGAATGCACACTAAAACCCCATTTTCTTTTTTTTTAATATTTATTTTTTAGTTGTAGTTAGACATGATATCCTTATTTTATTTATTTTTATGTGGTGCTAAGGATCAAATCCAGGACCTCGCACGTGCTAGGCAAGCGCTCTACCGCTGAGCCACAATCCCAGCCCTAAAAACCCCATTTTCTTAACTGTTCTACGTGTTCCCCACACAGAAAGAACAGGAAGAATTCACACAACAATGTTATCAATGACATGGTTTCGGGATCTGGGATTGCAAGCCATTTATTTTTTGTTTTTGTTTTTTTTACTTTTTGTGCCTATGTTAAGTGGTCCAAAAAGAACTTATAGAAATGTTCATTGAAGGGGGCTGGGGATATAGCTCAGTTGATAGAGTGCTTGCCTAGCATGCACAAGGCCCTGGGTTCAATCTCCAGCACCATAAAAAAGGAAAAATAAAAAAGAGAAGAAAAAAAGAAATGTTCATTGAAATGTTTGATAGAATTTAATAGGGTAGCAAAGAATGTGCCTCAGCCAGGCAATAATCTTTACCAAGTATCCACTGCTTTGAGAAAGTCTATCAAACTCCAAAATTCATCAAAATAAAATCCTATTTCACAGTTATTTATAGCTCTTAGTGTAACCCTGACCACCTACAATAATCAACAAATACTTGATAACTAATAGGTTGATTATTGGTTACTGGGAATCCTAGAGTTATAAATTTACAGAGCTAAAGAACCGCCACTCCCCCCCAAAAAAAAAAAACAGTTTTGTTCAACTTCACATATCTTAAGCAAGGCCCCTGAAACTGAAGGAAATGAAGCAACCACAGAGTTAGCAGAAAGTACCAAAGAATAACATGACATTTCCTTCTCCCCGTCCTGGGCTGGGTTTTTCACCCCACTGTGCTACCTCACAATTGAAAAAAAAAAAAAAAAGCAAAAGAAAAGGACATATATTTATGCTTATGCAATAATAGAATCATTAAAATAAAAATCATCCATTTAAAAAGTACCATTGCACCTTGTAGGTGGATATTCTTACTGAAATCCGTTCTTTTCCAAGAGACAGATTTCCAATGAATAGTCAATAACCCATCATTACAGCAGAGCAAGCAGCTTGGCAAGCTGAAGAAATGCCTTGTTAATATATATTCTAAGAATCTTTACAGATTGAATCAGGTAAGAATGCAGAGAATCTCAAGCTAAGACTCACCTTTGAATCCTCCAGAAACCCCTGAATGGTGTACTATCTCCACCATTCAGATAGTACTGCATGCTTAGAGGCATGAGTATCCTTGACAATGACATGATTCCTCCCAAAAAGAACTACGAAGGCATGAATTATATTTTAGTTTTCTCCAAACTTACCTCTTTGAGCTGGTCGAGAAGGTAAAAGGAACGTGGAATCTGAAAGTTTATCCAGTCCAGAATCCATTCTTTCTACTTCAGCGCAACGATCAGAAGTCCACTTAGGCAGAAGATTAGGGACAGTGAATCCTGGAACACATTCTCCTTCATAGAACCAATCACTCTGTTCATCATCCCCTAAAGCAAACAGACCATATCATGAGCTGGAATTTTAACATCCATGGGGGGGGGGGGATGACTTCTCAGCACTACAGTTTTTATTATATTTTTAAATAAATCAAAGTACCAAAAAATTGTTCTGGAAAACATTATGATGAAAACTGGGACATCAAACTAGTTCCCCTGAATGTCATATTATGCTAGACTGGACAACTTTAATAATAAAAACTAATAAGACTACACTTACTAAGACTTTACAGTCTATAAGAAACCATGCTGAAAATCTGTAAATGTGTTCTTTCTTCCAAGCCCTACACTAACTCTAACTTACAATGAGAAATCATGGTTGTTAGTAAATGATGAAGCAAGAATTTGAAACAAAAGCCTAATTAATTCCAAAGCCTGATGTCTTTTCCACAAAAAATAAACTGCCCCCTTCCCATTTTCCATGGCATAGATAAACCTAGGGGCTCAAAATCCAATTCAAACTAGTTGTTTCTGAGGATTTTTTTTTTTTTCCTCTTGGTTCTCAAGTATTTGCTCAAGATTTCCAATAATAGACACACACACACACACACACACACCAAAAAAAAAAAAAAAAACTGAACTAGAAGTAACTTGTGAGATTATCTATAAACCAGCAGACTTCAACCTGTGTTTACTAGATGCCTGGCACAGGAGCTCCCTAAAAGAACGCTGCCAAGGCATAAGAAGAGGCTGAGTGGACTGGGCTACCAACCTCCAGTTCTTCTGGAATCATGCTTTAACCAAACAAGCTCAGCTGTCTTATAATTTGAGATTTTATATATAGTTCTGTTTCGAGAAGAAAAAGGAGAGTGCTCTCTTTATCTGCATTTCTCAATACTATTAGGAAGTCCCTATATGCTAGGCAATGTTTTAGGTATTATGGTTGCAAATAATCACACAATTCCTCCCTTTGGAAAGCTTCAAAGGAAAGAATACTATAAATAATAACTTAATATGGCAAATGAAAAAAAAGCAATAAATACAAGGAACCACAAGAGCATAAAGACTATAAAGATTATCAGTTAGAATCCCCTTAGGAAGCATGCACATTTAAATTGGGTGCCTGAGGACAATTTAAAGAAGTGACTATTTACAAAGGTATAGATGTACAGATAAGGAAAACACCAAGGGATGCTAAAGCCCAGAGCCAGCACAGAAGGGCATTTTACAAGTACTCGACATGGAGTGGCAAGGAAAAGAATGGTTAACAAGGACTACAGAAAGAACTGTAGCCATTGGTGCACATTGCCAAACAGGAGTGATATTCTTCTGTAGAGAAACAAAATCAGTGCCAATAGGCCACCTAACAGGGAGCCAGAGAAAGTTATCATGAAACGTGGTAGTTTTCCAAGTTCTGACTGCCCCTATAACAGAATAATTTATCCTTGTCCTCTGCCCTTCACCAGTGGAATCTACAGTGCCTTTTCCTGGGGCAGAGGATGCTTCCTTAACCTGCTGAACTGGACTTGGTCAATTCACTTGCTATAAGAAGCAGAACATTAACAGATGTGATTCAACAAAGACTTTAACTATGCACACAAACATGGTCTGGATGGGTCACTTGGCAATTGTCTTCTGCCATAAGAAGTGAATGCTGCATTTAGCCAGCTCCATTACCCTAAAAAGATGAGCCCAGGCAAGATCAGTTGAACTACAGCCGACCCATAAACCCACAGCAAGAAATAAATGTAAACTACTGATATCTGGGGGCTGTTATGTAGCATTATCACAATAAAAACTTGATAAATAACAACAAATCTCATTCACCTCTCTCTAAACTTCTGCAGATGCTCAACAAGAAATTGGGGGGGGGGGGGATGAGACACTGATACAGTCCATAACTTTGCCCTGAAGGGGCACAAAAGGAGTACTCTTTCTTGGTGGATGACCAGCCATTCAAGGAAAGATGAGAGTGAGATTTCAGAGAGAAAGACCCATGTGAACAAAGGCACAGAAGCAGGCAATAACATGGCTTTTTGTGCTGAGAACTCTTAAACATCTAAGTATCACCAGAATGTGCAAAGTTGAGGCAGAGACAAAGTGGAGAGCTAGGCTACAGAATATTCTACATCTTTCATGATAAATCAAGCAATTCTTATTAATGGAAAGACTTTCAAAGGCCCAAAAACTTTACCTGCTGTAATGGGTCCACACTTTGTTCCGACTCTGTATAATTATGTATCATAGTCTTTAAAAAGAATAGTATAAACATTTTTTCATATTTTTGTTGGCCATCTGCATTGCATCTTTTGAGAAGTGTCTGTTAAGCTCTTATGCCCATTTATTAATTGGGTTTTTTTTTTTCTTTAGTGTTAAAATTTTTTGAGTTCTTTATATATTCTGGATACTAATCCTCTGTCAGGAAGCAGCAGGCAAAGGTTTCTCCCATTCTGTAGGCCCTCTCCTTTGCTGTGCAGAAGCTTTTTAATTTGATGCCATCCCTCTTACTGATTCTTGGTTTTATTTCTTGTACTTTTGGTGGGACTGCAAATTAGTACAACTGCTCTGGAATGCAGCATAGCGATTCTTCAAAAGACTAGGAATGGAACCACCGTATAACCCAGTTATACCACTCCTTGGTATTTATCCTAAAAAACTAAAATCAGCATACTATAGTGATGCACACACATCAGTTTATAGCAGTGCAACTTAATGGTCAAGTTATGGAACCAGCCCAAGTGCCTATCAACACATGAATGGATAAAGAAAATGTGGTATATATTAACAATGGAGTTTTACTCAGCCATAAAGAAGGATAAAATTATAGCACCTGTTGATAAATGGATGGAACTGAAAAACATGATAAGTGAAATAAGCCAGACTCAGAAAGTCAAGGGTTCAATGTTTTCTCTCATATGTGGAAAATAGATCAAAATAAGGAAAAAAGGGAGAGAGAATTCCATGAAAATAGAAGGGAGATCAGTGAAGCAGAGAAAGGGACTGATGAGGAAGAAGGAAGGACAGGAAAAGGGAAGAATGGTTGACTGAAATTGACCAAATTATGCTATGTACATATATAAATATGCCACAATGAATTTCACCTTTATGTTATACCTATAAAGCACTAATTTAAAAACATATAAATAAATAAAGAGAAAGAAGACCAGTAGACTAGAGGAAGGAGAATCGATAAGGAGGAGAGGAGGAAAAGAGGAAGTACCAGGTACTAAAGTGGAGGAATTTCATTCTAGGTATATATGTTATGTCAAAATGAATCCCAGTATTATACATAGCTATAATGCACTAATAAAGCATAAAAAGGTATATCACGCTACTTCACAGCACTATAGTAAAAGCAAAGAAAAAAGACAAATATTAGTAACTCTGAATGATATMGCCAAATCATGAATGGAAGACCACCAGATTTTTCTCAGTATGAGAAAAGAATTAAGACCCTAGCTAGAGCCAACCTGTACATGCACACAGTTCCTAAGGCACCCTTTGTCCCTCAGAATCAGAGAAAGAGAAATTTACTCATAAGAACCTCCCTTATGGTAGGAAGCTCAATAACTCCACAGGGATAAAACAGTTTCATCTGTTTCTATGCCAATTACTCTGAGGTATGAATGAGATGCCCCCCACACAGTACCTTTTCTTTTCTTTTTTTTTTTAAACACAGTACCTTTTCAAAATCAGAACTTGGATGCTTGAGTTACTGGGAATCCTAACTGGATCAACCTAGAAATGTGGTCACTGTGCCTCTGTTATTTAAACACTTAATTCTTGGAGAAAAATTATTAGATTTCAGAACTAAAAGAGACTTTGGAAATCTATGAATTCGGGCTGGGGATGTGGCTCAAGCGGTAACTTGATAGCCTGGCATGCGCGGGGCACTGGGTTCGACCCTCAGCACCACCTAAAAATAAAATAAAGATGTTGTGTCCACCAAAAGCTGAAAAATAAATATTAAAAAATTCTCTCTCTTATCTATTAAAAAAGAAATCTATGAATTCTTTTTTTTTTTTATTTTAATATTTATTTTTTTATTTTTTTATTCTCGGCGGACACAACGTCTTTGTTTGTATGTGGTGCTGAGGATCGAACCCGGGCCGCTCACATGCCAGACGAGTGTGCTACCACTTGAGCCACATCCCCAGCCCCTATGAATTCTTATTGTAAATTAAGAAAACTAGAATCCAAAAAGGTTACGTGAAATTCTTATTGGCACACTAAGCAAGAGAACAAGAATTTTGTAAATGCCCTTAGACCACTGCAAAATCTCAAATTACTACTTATGTAGTAAAAATAAAGAACTGACAATTAACATACACTAGTCTTCTTCATAGGTCTCTATACTAACCTTCAGGAGTTTTAACTTGAGAAAAACATTTTATATAATATATTCACCCGGAACGCTGTAAACATTATAAACTTGAATCTAATGTATAAAATATGATATGTCAAGAGCTTTGTAATGTTGTGAACAACCAATAAAAAAATAATAAAAAAAGAAAAGAAAAAAAAATATAAAATAAGGGCTGGGGATGTTGTGGCTCAAGCAGTAGCGCGCTCGCCTGGCATGCGTGTGGCCCGGGCTCGATCCTCAGCACCACATACAAAACAAAAGATGTTGTGTCTGCGGAAAACTAAAAAATAAATATTAAAATTCTCTCTCAAAAAAAAAGAAAAAAACAAGTCAACTACTTGCCGTAACCCGGCACCAGTTCCAGTTAGTAAGTCAAGAAAGAATAGTCAAGGTATAGGTCAATAGTTTGGGACATTTGTAACTATTATTAAAAGTTTTAAAAGTTAACTAAGCAGAAACAACTCAAAGCAAAACTCGAACTGAAAGTACAAATGCTTGCTTATGCATAAGCCAAGATACATTCTTCTATTCTAATTGTAGCTACGTAATATTTTGTTTCTTTGAATAATGATTCCTGTTTTGTAACCACAAAGTACTGTGAGCCTGCCAAAATGAAAAGTATATATGATCAACTTCACAAGTAAAGATTGGGATCAACAAAAATAAATAAATAAATAAATAAATAAGGTAAAATTCTCCCTCTGTAATAAAAATATCTCATATATCTCATCAAAAAAAAAAGACAGTAGTGCATGAGGATACCTCTTGGTTCTAAACCCCCAAACAATGATTCTCAAAATCTGAATTACCTGCATAAAAATCATGCTTGTGGAAAATGCAGATTCCAGAGCCAATTCTAGACCTACTTGATTTCTAAGTCAGGAATCTACAATTTTAGCAGTCCCTCAGATGACTCTCCATGCCATAAAGCTTGAGAACCACTACCACAAACAATCATTCTACTGTCAGTGAGTCACCCCTAGTCATTTGCATCTTCCCATCAATAATGAACCCGTGTCCCAAAGCTGGGATCCAAATTACCTTGCCGTCCTTCATCATTGGTGAAGAGCCCAGTGTCACTGCTGCTACACACACTGCTGGTTTCACTGAAAAAAAAAAAAAAAAAAAAGAGTAAAACTCAGAGAACTCATCAACTCCAGTCAAAAAACACTCTACATTCTTCTGATTTTTCCAAAGAAAAGACCTCAAGCTTTCCTAATTTCACTCCAGTCCATTAGCCAATTGTGTAGGTAAATTTCACAGGGAAGCCATAGGTAAAGTTTCTTTACCCCCAAACAACAACAACAAAAAAATATGTAAAAGAAAAATACTAAAATTTTACATGTACTTCAAAGTACTTAAAAAGAAATATCTAAGATTACTTTGTTAGTTTAGGATCTAAAATATTTATTGAAACTCATACAAGTAATCTCAACCTGGTTTGGCATATTAACCAACACAAATTTATCAATTTTATTTTTTAAATATTGCCAACTATTAATTTCAAATGAAGATAATCAACTTTGACATTTAACATCTCTTAAAATTTCTCCCACTTGCAAAGCAATAAACATTCATAAGCAGAAAATAAATTAATATGGTCAGTTATATTTTCCAAAATTTCATGTCTTCCTTGACATCAAGTAGATATACAAAGCTTATTTTGGGGGGAAAAAAAGGAGTTAAGGTTAAAAATAAAAATATAAAAACAAACTCCATTCAGACTCACTGAAATAAAACTTTTGACCTAACAATTGATTCCACTTCTTGTAGTATTTTCTTTCACCCAATCTTCATCAAATGTGCTTTACCTGGTTCAAAAAAAATTTCTTTATTTACAATATTAGCTATTTCCTTGATTGGGAGTATTTGCTTCCGAGTTAGTCAATTTTGTTTCACCTGCTCTAGCGATGCAAGAAACCAAAGCAAGGGAAAAAGCATTTTCACTATGGGTGAAAAAGGAACAGGCCTGGCAAAATCCCAACCTATAGTCCTAGATCAAAACTCTGAAAATATTTTGTATTTTGCAACATTTTCAAATATCTTGCCAACACTAAATCCTCAAAATGCTGGTTAAATTAGTAGCAATGCTTTCCTCACAAGCTTAAGCTTGTTTCTGAATAACAGATGGCAAGAGACCTTTCACAGCAAGAGCCAAAAACCAAAACATACTTGGATTCTATACAGGTTCTTTCACTTTATTTTCTTGTGCACTTATATATTCTCAAGGGTCATTTTAAGAAATGTCTCACAAAACTATACCACTATATCCTTTGAATCCTCAAACAGCTCTACAGTAAAATCCAGAAGCATCCATATAGAGGACTACATTCTTCCTACTTCTTAATTTAAGGAACTGTGCCTGTTCTTGAACTTAAGAAACTGGCTATTCGTATTTTCAGCAAATCTGAAAATCACTAGTGGTCTAATTCCATCAAGTCTTACAACACAGTCTCTCTCATATTACTACTTTATTATTCTCATCTTACCTCAAGGATAAAGCATATTTTTTTAATTTTCTTTTGCAATGCTCAGAATTTTAAGGAGAGATACAAAGCACATTAGGTTGTGGGATATATGCTATTTCACCATCATATTTTACACTTCACTAGTTAGCATCACTACTAAAACTTATGTCCTATCACCTGTTTTTATATGACCTATGAGTTCAGAATGGTTTTTACAGCAAATTGTTAGGGAAACATCAAAATGTAAATATTTTGTGATGTGTAGAGATGATGTAAAATTCAAATTTCAGTACATGTCAATAAAGTTTTATTGAAATCAACCATACTCACTCATTAATACATCTTCTACAACCTCTTTTGTACTCATCTGCAGAGATTATACAGTCCAGAAGACCCTAAAATATTTATTATCTATCTCTTTATAGAGAAAGTTTGTGGATTCTTGTTTAATGACTATGGTCTCGTTTGAATATTTCCATTAGAAAGTTAAAACAATTACTCTATCACAAAATCTGTCAATTCTCTTCCCCATTCATTTCCAGCCACTTGTAGGTACTACAAGATACAGTGCTTCCTAGATCTTTTTACATGGAATCCAGTCTCTCCCAATATTCTAAATAAAAAGGCAGTCTCAAAGAATATCTGCTAAATCAAGAAAGGTGATAGTAACTGTCAGCATACATTTTTTATTGTTTTATCAATAGCATTTCTTTTTTTTTAACTTCAATATTTATTTTTTAGTTTTTGGCGGACACAACATCTTTGTTTGTATGCGGTGCTGAGGATCGAACCCGGGCCGCACGCATGCCAGGCGAGCGCGCTACCGCTTGAGCCACATCCCCAGCCCCTCAATAGCATTTCAAGAGAATCAATCTTCTTGAAAAAACTTAAGAATGAACTTGTCTCAAAGAGTTTGTTCTATATAGTGAATTAATGACAATAATAGCATGGAATTATCCTCAGGACGTTAAGACTATGATCAAGAGAGATATGTATTTTCTTCACAAAAAAATTAGTTCTATAAAATTTATTCCATGCAAGTAAGTACCATCCTTTTACCAATGTCTGGAAACAAATGCATCATCTGATGGCACTGCTAATTTTATTTATTCCCTCAGAATAATTTGTATTATGAAAATGTAATCAATGTATAAAAAAAAATGTTAGCATGATTTGCTAAGGAAAAATGTGAGGAGTTCCATGGCATGCTTGCACATAAACACTATTAAAAAAAGTTTGCAAAAATGTAGTACTAAATAAAAAATAAAAGTAAATATAAATATTTTCCTTCCAAGTTTCAAGTCCAAGTTTCTTGTCATGCATCCCTCACTCACTCCTGACTCTTAGACTATGATTAAAAAAAAAAAAAAAAATCAGGGGCTGGGGATGTGGCTCAAGCGGTAGCTCGCTCGCCTGGCATGCGTGTGGCCCGGGTTCGATCCTCAGCACCACATACCAACAAAGATGTTGTGTCCGCCGAAAACTAAAAAATAAATATTAAAAAAAAATTCTCTCTCTCTCTCTCTCTCTCTCTCTCTCTCCTCTTTYACTCTCTTTAAAAAAAAATCAGATCAGTATGATTTTAATATTTAGTCAACTATAAAATGTTAATTTAGTTACTTCAATTTAATATTCAGTTACAAATAAGGTCACATATTATGAATCTTTAGATACAAAGGAACAAGATAGAGTCAACAACAGCAGCAGGTAATGAAATCCTGTACTTTGTACTACCTCAAAATGACAGCAACTCCTAGAAGCATCCATGCCTCCTCTCTTTACTTCAGGAGTTGTTCCATATTCCCTGTGCCTCATAATTTATGAGCTTCTAACCTATGAATTGTTTGCATACAAAAATCTTCCTAGACTACTTCTAAAATATGCTGGAGAACTATTTTCAACCTTACAAAAATGTGTGTACTTTTTTTTTTTTTTTTAAAGAAATCTAATCCCAAACCAAGCATGGTGGTGCATGCATGTAATGCCAGTGCTCAGAAAGCTGAAGCAGGAGAATCACAAGTTCAAGGCCAGCCTCAGCAATTTAGCAAGGCCCTAAGCAACTCGTGAGACCCTGTCTCAAAATAAAAAACAAAAAGGGCTGGGGAATGAAGGGAAGGGAGGGTGAATGAGAATAGAAAAGACAGTAGAATGAATTTGCCATAACTTTCCTATGTTCATATATGAATACAAGCCCAGTGTAACTCCACATTATGTTCAACCACAAGAATAGGAAGTTATACTCCATGTATGTATACAATATTTCAAAATACATACTACTGTCATGTATAACTAAAATAATAATAATAATAATTAAATTTTTAAAAGCTGAGGATGTGGCTCAGTGATAAAACGCCCCTGGGTTAGATCTTCAGTATCAAAACAAATAAAAAACAAATAAATGAAAAAATCTCTAACAGGAAAAAGGAGGAGGAAAGATTCCCACCATGTTTCTCCTAAATTTTAATTCATTCATTTAGGAAGTATTTATTATTTGCCATATACCAAACACTGCTATAACCAGCACTTAAAACTAACAAAGAAACATTCACTCCCAATTTAAATGAGGCATCTTGATTAAAAAATTAAAAACTAGTCAACAAAGTGGAAGAAAGATTATGAAGAGATAGAAGAAAAATGCTTTCCAATGACAAACACTATACAATTAATAAGGGGTGGTGTAAGCCTAGAATTTAACTTTACAGTCCTGAGAAAAATCATCCCATTTTAGAAGCCAAGAAATGTCTTAAAAATATTCATATATGAATAAAAGCAGTAATAATACTTGACACTTCTATACAAAGCGTATAGCTCAAATGTTTCCATACTTTATTCAGTAATATAATCACCATTTTAAATAAGATACAAACAAAATTACAATCAAATAGATTTTGGACCACCAATTCTACTACCTAATTACTATAATACTGTAAGAAAAGCAACTAAGCCACATCCAACTAAAATAATAGAAGTGTAAAAAAAAAAAGTCAACTTAACCAGCAGTTCAAAAGGCTGATTCTCCCATCAACCTTTTATTATGAAAATTTTCAAACACATAAACTGTTTAAAAGTAGTTAGTTAACAAGGATTTCAATTCCACAAGTAACATTCTGCCTTCTTTACTTTATTATACATCTATCCATCTAACTTTCCCATCAGAGCTTCTTTGTAATGAGAGGCACTCTGAGTGGACCAGATGATTGGGCACAGAATTCACTTCCACAGAAGTACATTATCACAGGAATGGAGCCCAATAAAACACTAGAGACACCCTTTGTCCAATAAAACAATTCCACCCAGATTTTTATAAGAAAAAACTGATCCTACTTTTAATGTCCGTCACATATGTGGTCCCCTAAAACTCAGTCAGGAAGACAGAAAAGGAAAAACATGGAGCCAGTAAAGACAACAGGAATAATGTTAGCCAAACACTATAAATCCTGGTACTAACTTAAAAATGCTTTTATCTGAAATGTTCTCCTTTCAAGTTCTGAAAATGAATTGTTTGTCCTTTAGAGGAGCAATTAAAGGATATAATTTTTCAAATTAACCAAAACTCTAGTTTTAAAACTATAGTATACTGGGCTGGGGATGTGGCTCAAGCGGTAACGCGCTCGCCTGGCATGAGCCGGGCGCTGGGT